ACTTTTGGATACTTCTGTTTATGTTTCTTCTGGGGTCTGCTGCTCAGACTCAATGGAATCATCAGAAAACGGGGCTGGATTTTTAGGGATGTTATTACTAGAGTTGGCTGTGTTTGTTCTCTGGTTTAGATTGTGCTTTGCAGCTTTGGAAAAGTTGAATTTGATAAAGCCTCCTCTGTCTTCAGATGTTCAGTCATATGGTGTTGTGATAGCAGGCCGGGTTCTATTTGTGTGGTCTGAGTGTGCCTTCTTCTCAGTTCTATTTTGAGAAGACAGCAAGAAGTGCTTTTGGTGTTGTATTTGAGCTGTCCTCGAGTGGTTTGAGTTTGGTGCTTTTTTTTTCTCTTCTTCTTCTTTTTATTATTTTGATGGCATCCATGTGTATAGCGCCCATTTATTTTCCTGAAACTGAAGAGCACTCGCCAACCTCAATACGGAGGCAGATGAGCTCGTGTCATATACCACACCCTCTGTTGAAGGGCTGTGAGAGACAGAAAATGTACTTTGTGTGTGAGTGGGTGATGCACTGAAAGCCTATCGAGAGGATGTAACATATTGCTGTTTAACAACGTAGCTGCCACACTTTATCAGCCTGCAAAACTGGGGTAAATGAGACGGCAGCAGGCATACATGTGGAAAATATTGTCAACACTGACTGTATGTGAAAGGCATTGAATGCTGCTCTGGCATGGTTATGTTGCTGGAGACGAATCGTTCTGTGAAGAGGACCATTAGGCCTCGTTAAATTGCAGAGCCTTGTCCAGAGTGGCTGTAGCAGTGAATCTGGCTTCCTCATGTTTCAGTCTGTTCAGTGCACTCCAAATGCTTCCGACACTGATCGCCAGCAGGGAGTAAAGCGGTCCTCCTTCCTGTGAGAAGCAACTATTGCAAACAGTGTGGAGTGGAGGGGGGAGGTGGAAGTGTTCTCCCATTGGCTGAATTTTGGCTAGCTTTGACCTGAATGCTGAACACGGAAAGCTCTGCCAGACATGTTTTTTTTTCTTCTTCACCCTTTAAACATCCTCTCTTTTTTCATAATCCTCTTTTACTTTCACCCTCTCTTTGTGCACATTTGAAAGGGCCTCTAACACCCCCTTAGAAGGGAGTTGTGAAGTGCTGGTGAAGCCCAGCTCAGCAGTCTGCTGCTCATCTTTTCTCTCATAACTCTCTTAGCTGAATAACGGGGGGTTATGAGAGAAGCACTCAAATGTGTGGCTCCC